AAAAAAAAACATTTTAAAAAAGTTTCATTATTTAAAGTTTTTTTATCTTAAAAAGGTGAATATTATTTGTTCCTTTTGGAACAATTATGAAATCATTGAATTCCTGATGGTTAGTGATTGCAAAGAGAAAGAGAATATTGAAAATTTTTTTTCCAGAAGAGTTTATAAAATGGGCTTTTAAAAATAAGTATTATCCAACCTCCCACTAGACTACGTTATTACATACCTGTTTCTTGAATTTCCTAAAATGAAGTTCCAGAAGTCACTCTATCCTTTGGTAGACCGGAAATATTCACATTATTTTCCTTTGTCATGCTGGGGGGTAGAGTAGGAAAAAACAGCCAAAGACATATGAAAATATAATTTTCCTCTCCATTAACTCATTCAGGAGACACTTTCAGAGTTTAAACTATGTGGTAGGTACTATGCTCACAGTAAGGATACAAGTATAGGACAATCTGCCATCTGGAATTTAGTTTATGAAATTTGACCTCTACAACAGTATAGGAATACAGGAACATATCCAGGTCTCACAAATCTCACATAATTTCTTATCAGAAATATGTATTCCCTCCACTTCCAATAACATGTATTTGGATAGTTCAAAGAACTGGATAATTTTCATACAGGGAGTCATTGTTTTGTTTTGTTATTTTTTTCCTACAAAGGAAATTTTCTCTGATACATGAAAAAATATCATACACTTCCACCATTTTTTTTTTCAGGGAGGAGGAGTACGAGGGAGTGAACTCAGGAATATTTGACCACTGAGCCACATCCCCAACCCTATTTTGTATTTTATTTAAAGACTGGGTCTCATTAAGATGTTTAGCACCTTGCTTTTGCTGAGGCTATCTTTGAACTCTTAATCTCTCAGCCTCCAGAGCCGCTGGGATTATAGGTGTGCACTGGCTGCTCTCACTGTTTTTAATGCCTGTATTTTTCATAGGCATCTTATGAAATGTTTCATGTCCTTACATCTTTAGTACCTTTGTTAAGCCATACTATTATTTTCCCTCCAGAGACTTTCCTTTGATATCCTAATTCTTTTTCAGAACTAGGAATTGAACTCAGGGCCCTGCCCATGCTAGGCAAGTACTCTACCACTGAGCTAATCCCCAATTATTCCTAGTTCTTAATAATTTATTCTAAATTTACTTCTTATTTCTCTCCTAGCAGTATATTATTTTAAAAGGTCATTAGAGGGACAACAAGGGTCTCTAGATCTCATTAGTGACAATATATATAAATTGCAACTGTAGGAATGGTGGAGGAAGATGACAGAACTGCTAATTCTGTGGACTGAGGCCTTCCAGTTTATTCCTTTGATTAGATGATTTGCGTTTGTTGTATGACCTTGGAATGTTATAGTACTCACCTAAACAATTCCATTTTATTATACAAGATTTACTGTAAAGACTCAATGATTATATGTTTTATATACATGCACACACACATACACAGTATCGTATGGCATAACAAAACTCAAACATTCTTATTATTATGGGGGAGGGGTACTGGGTATTGAACTCAGGGGCACTTGAACATTGAGCCACATCCCCAACACTATTTTGTATTTTATTTAGAGACAGGGTCTCACTGAGTTGCTTAGCACCTCACTTTTGCTGAGGCTGGTTTTAAACTCGTGATCCTCCTGTCTCAGCCTCCTGAGCCACTGGGATTACAGGTTGTGCTACCATACTCCACTCAAACATTATTTTATTAAAATATAGTAAAACGGCTGGGGTTGTGGCTCAGTGGTAGAGCGCTCGCCTAGCATGTGCAAGTCCCTGGGTTCGATCTTCAGCACCACATAAAAATAAATAAATAATGGTATTGTGTCCAACTACAACTAAAAAATAAATATTTCTAAAAATATATAGTAAAAGAGTAGTAATGTGCATTAAACTCAAATTGCATAGTAAGATCTGAGTATATGACAAAGTCCAGGTTTTAGTATTTCATTTTAAATGAGTGATTTCTGTTGTATTATATCTAGGAAGAACATGTTCTTTTCCAGCTTGAAGAAGGAATTGAAGCTTTGGAAGCTGCAATCGAATACAAGAATGAAAGTATCCAGAGTCGCCAGAATTTGCTTAGAGCATCACTCCAAAATCTTTCTCATAGTGAAGCAAATGTTTTGGAAAAATTAAGTTGCCTGAATCCTGTTGAAATTAGAGCTATTCTTTTCAGATATTTCAATAAGGTATTGTTTTGGAAGAACAGTATTTATCTTATCAATAGGGGTCAAGATGTTCCCCATATTTATGTTGAATTTTTAAAGAAACTGAAAGACTGAAAGATTTGATGGTGTAATTACATACTTAAGCATGTTTTCTCTTTATACTACTGAATGTTGTCATCTGAAACTTTGTGATTATCCAAATTTGTAAGCCTACCTTTGTGAGGTGCTTATAGTTGTAGGGCCTTTCAATAGAAGGCCTCTTTGATATAGTTTTAAAAACCAAACTTCCTTATTATTTTTTGGTTCCAGATTTGGATGTTGCTATGCAGCATTCCTGAAAAATAAAGGTCTCTCCGAGTTTTAGTTCCTTCAATGCTATAGGGCAAGGTAAACCTGTACTTTCTTGAATAATGTGTGAGTTGAAACGGAGATGAAGTGATGCATCAATGGCAAAGACAATAATAGATTTTATTAACCTGAATGTGCTTAAATCAATTAAAATATTTTATATGAATCGGACAGTTTAGTGATCCAGAGGTGTTTCATAGCATTCAGAACCATCACATCATTTCTCTAATATCTTTTTCACTTAAGATATATATTACAGGGGTAGGGATATAGCTCAGTGGTAGAGCACTTGCCTAGCATGCACAAGGTCCTGGGTTTAAATCTCCAGAGATGCAAAACAAAAAATTAAAAATAAATAAATACTTAGTATGGCAGGTTAGATAATTCTTGTCTCTGAAAAGTCTGTTCAGTTTATGGGAATATCAGATAGTTGGTGAACACAAAACGTTGAAGTTTTTAAAAGTTCTAATTGTATGAAATAAAGATGAAAATGTTATATACAATCTCTTTGTGGATAATCAGTCAGTAGTAAACTATTGTTACTGATGAGAGTGCATTCTATTTTTGCGTGTTTGGAGGGCAGAAAATAATGGAGGACTGTCCTAGGCTACCCTTGAAGCAAAGAGTTTTTACCCCAAGATACTCTAGCCAAGATCAGTGGATTTTCTGATCCTTTGTAGAAATAGTATTGTTCTGGTGAGGATGTCATTAAATTATCAACAAGTTCTATGATACTAACGTTGTGTCTTAAGTATTTTTACTTCATATCAAAAAAGAACCCAACAGATGATATACAAGCTTGAAACTGAATTTCTTTGTTTATAGTTTAAAAATTCTGCCACTTATTTCTAACATCCATTTTGGGGTTAAAGTAGGGAATTAAAAAGTTTTGAAGGGGTGATTATTAGAAAGACGTAATAAAATGAGGAGCTGGGGATGTGGCTCAAGCGGTAGCACGCTCGCCTGGCATGTGTGCGGCCCGGGTCCAATCCTCAGCACCACATACAAACAAAGATGTTGTGTCTGCCGAAAACTAGAAAATAAATATTAAAAAAAAGTAAAAAAATAAAATGAAAGCATTACCAATTCAGAATTTTGACACATTTAAAAGACTGTTAGATTACTTTTAAAAAAAATTTTTAGTTGTCAGTGGACTTTCATTTTTTCTTTTTTTAATTTATCTGTGGTGCTGAGAATTGAACCCAGTGCCTCACACATGTTAGGCAATTGTTGTACCACTGTGTTATGACCCCAGCCCAACTATTATATTATTTTGTGGATATGTTATAAAGTAGTTGCCTAGGGACCCAGTATGTTTCAGGAAGCACTTAAAATGTGGAGATTAAAGAAGCTCATCTTTTTTTAAAAAAAACATTGTTTTTTAGTTGTTGATGGACCTTTATTTATTTATATGTGGTGCTGAGAATTGAACCCAGTACCCACACATGCCAAGCAAGTGTGCTACCACTGAGACATGCCCCAGCCCCAAAGAAGCTCATCTTTATGAAACCCAAGAAAAGTAGATTAATCTATTGGGTTAGGCTATCTAAATCACACTTAAAAAGTAAAAAAAAAAAAAAATGTCTTTGGTAGGTGGTTAATTTGCGAGAAGCTGAACGAAAACAACAATTACAAAATGAAGAAATTAAAATGAAGGTTCTGGAACGGGATAATACGGTTCGTGAGTTGGAATCTGCATTGGAACATCTGAAATTGCAATGTGACCGGAGACTGACACTCCAGCAAAAGGAACATGAGCAAAAGGTGCAACTGCTATTACGTCATTTCAAAGGTAACTCTTCTTTTTGTCAGTTGTATAAAGGTGATGGGGGAATATTTAAGAAGGAAAATGAGACAGAACTTATTTCTTAATAGTCCACTGTATAAGCAGTTACTACTTGCACAAATTTTTGCCCTTTACCTGTTTTGGTACTATGTTTCGGGATAGCTGAAGCTGATACGAGGCTATTCATGCTTGAAATGCCATCCCTTCTGCTTGCCCCATTAGGGCACACCACAATCCTATTTGTTTTTGGTTTAGTTTTTATGTTGAAATGTGGAGATTTTGTCTGGCTTTTAAGTGTAGAGTTAAAATTTTTCTATCTCCTAGGAATATAGTACTATGATACTTTAATTATTTTACTTTCACAAAATTAAAGTGATAGGTTTTGTCACATTCTTAGTTATATTTCTTGTAATTTTCAGTTGATGGTAAAATTTTATGCATTAAGGTTATGTATCCTAGGTCAAAACTAGACTACTATTGATAGGCACAGTTATCAATGAGTATCTGTTCAACTGTCATCTCTGATGCAAAAAGAAAGCTATCATAGCCAGGCATAAGGTGTACACCTGTAATCTCAGCGACTCCCGAGGGGGTGAGGCAGGAGATCACAAGGTCAAGACCAGCCTTAGCAATTTAGCAAGGCCTTAAGCAATTTAGTGAGACCCAATCTCCAAGTAAAAAATAAAAAGAATTGGGAATGTGGCTCAGTGGTAAAGCACTCTGGGTTCAGTTCCCAGTACAAAAAAAGAAGAAAAAGGAAGAAAGAAAAAAGCTGTCCCAAAAAGTGGACTTCACATTACCTGGGTATATGGCCAGTATACAAACAGCTGCCATGGCAACAAAATCACTGCCAGGTGATAATGTTACTGTTCTTGAGTCTCATGAATCCACAGCTGAAAATAGGTCAAAAGGGATCTGGAAGAAGTAACCTGAGGAAGAAGAAAATTGGAGAACATTTGAATTTAAGTGTTGAGGCAGCTTAGCTTGAAATTAATTCTATAATTGTTAATTAGCAACCAATTGACTAATGACAGGATTTCCTTGGCAGGATCCCAACATAATTATTGCATTCAAACATGCTCTCCTTACCTTAATTTAGTTCTGTTGTCTCTAAAAGTGATGTGTGTAGAAAATTTTAAAGTGTCAAGGATTATACATCAAAAGTTCATGCCATAGTCAAATAAAGACATTTTAAAAATCATTCATTTCTATAACTACAAGTTTTTCATAACAAAGTTGTAACTAAAAATGTTAACAATTTGTGAGTTTTCTAATTTCAGCTGGATTAGATATAAGTTCATACTTCATGGAGATTTTTTTTTTTTTTCTTTTTTGCAGTGCTGGGGATCAAACTCAGGGCCTCATGCATGCTAGGCAAGTGCTGTACCATTTAGCTACATCCCCAGCCCTACTTTCTGTGGATTCTGATTTATGATATCATTAAGCAATTGTTACAACAAGATAAACTATACAAGCATACTTAAATAAAATTTTAGGAAACAGCTGATATTAACAAAAACAAATAGTAGGACCATTTTATAAATATGTCTCCTGAATAAATCCAAAAGTATGTATCTTCTGAAAGCAGTATACTAGATTTTACTGTTCTAGAACAGTGTTAGACATTCACAAGTAGTAATTAGAGGCTTTAAGTTATATTTTGGCATAAACTAGAACTTATGCTGGCTATTTACCTTCTTTTTCTGTGATGTTTTCTTTTGTGATTTTATCTTTCTCTAGTCCCTTTTAACGGTTTGTGTGTGTGTGTGTGTGTGTGTGTGTGTGTGTGTGTGTGTGTGTGTGTGTGTGTGTGTGTGTGTGTGTGGGTGGGTGTGGGGTGGTGGTGGTGGTGGTGTTGGTGGGGTTTTTTTGGCTGTTAAGGCAAAAAAAAAAATGTTTCTTAGGGCCTCTTAAGACTTTCCATATAACCACAATGTCTGATATAAACTTTAAGATATTAATGCAGCTTGTGGACAGAGTTCCAAAAGTGAATTTTTTATAGGAAACACCTACTTCTTCTGTTCTAGGGATAAGTCTTGTTAATATGAACTGCAAAAAAATGCAAACTTATAAACATATAGTTAGAGGTTGTTGAGGGTAGGGTGGAGAAAAAGATTAAGGGCTCAGTCTTTTTAAAAAATGTTATGGGCAGAAGAATCCAAATTGTAACTGAAAACAAATCTAAAGTAAAGTAATAGATATGTGACCCTTTAAAGATAGTTTGGGGCTAAGTTAAAATATAATTTTGAATCATTTATTTAAAACTAAGTATAATTATTAATTTTTGCTTTATAGAACAAGATGGAGAAAGCATTATAGAAACTTTTAAAACATATGAAGATAAAATTCAGCAATTGGAAAAAGATCTTTATTTCTATAAGAAAACCAGCAGGGATCTTAAGAAGAAACTTAAAGAACTGACACGGGAAGCATTTCAGTGGCAACTAGCATTGTCAGAACGTAAGATGAGTTACTTGTCATGCAAACACTGTTTTTCTAGCATTTGGTGAGATCATGCCGATTTCCCCATGACTGGGTTATTTAGGATGAGACATTTAACTTCTCTTTGTCTCTCTGGACAAAACTAGTTTTTTCACCATGTATAAGACCGAACCCCATGAGAAGTGAAAGAATGAATGAAAGAACACATACGTATGTGTAAAGAGATAGTCATTTTTAAAATTTATTTTTTTCCAGCTGTCAAAGGTTTATTCATCATGGAGAACATTTAGAACATTTAGATCACGTTTGATGTGGCTGAATGAAGTAATATTTCAAAGGGACATATTAACTCCAAATAAAGGTTGCTACAGATAATCTTGTGGAGTATAAATGCTGGAGTTAATTCTTTAATGGATTGATGAATCTCTGAAATACAGTTATCAGCTGCAAAGTAAATGGTGTCTATATAACTACTCATTTTACTTCAAGAACTGTTTGTATATTGCCACTACAAACTCCTTATTTTTCTTAACAGTTGAGGAGTGCAACTATCTAAAATATTTTTAAAAATGTAAAATACATATATATATATATATATATATATATATTTTTTTTTTTTTTGCAGTGCTGGGGATTCAACACAGGGCCTGTAAACTAAACTATAAACTATAAAATAATACCCATTAAAACTGTGGGAAGCAATTTTTTTTTTGTACCCAGAATTGAACCCAGAGATGCTTAACCATTGAACCATATCCCAGTCCTTTTTTATATATAATTTAGACACAGAGTCTCACTGAGTTGCTTAGGGGCTCACTAAATTGCTGAGGCTGCTTTGAACTCATCCTCCTTCTGCCTCAGCTTCCTGAGCCACTTGGATTACAGGCATGCACCACCTTGATTGTTTATTGATTGCATTGTGCCATTGTTTATAGTCCTTAACTCACTTAATCCTTAAAGTAACCCTGTAATTTAAGATAGCTGTCATTTTCCTGTTTTATGGTAAATTAAGCCTTCCATTATCATAAAAAATATGTATAATACAATGGATAATACAAAAAGTAAAGTTAAAAGTGTGTGTATTCTAAGATAAATCAAGGCTTTTTATATACTGGCCTTTTTGGAAATTAAAAAAATTAATAAAACCCATTGTTGAGATAAAGATGTTTCTTTGCATAGTTATATGTAGATAAGTAGAATTAGCACCTTCATGAATGAAATTATCAAACATGACAAAAATATTCTGTAAAAAGAAATGCTATGAAGGTAATATATTGCTATGATTAAAATATACCCTCAAGTCAGCAAAATAAAGAGGAGTCAATATTTCTAAAATAACAGTCTATATTTTATAAAAGAAATATTCTGCTTTGGAGCATATTCTAACAATTTAAGAATGGTTGATGAAAAGTTGGCTTTAAAACCTTTTAGGAAGGGGCTGGGGTTATGGCTCAGCTGTAGAGTGCTCACCTAGCACGTGCGAGTCCCTGGGTTCAATCCTCAGCACCACATAAAAATTAATAAATAAAATAAAGGTATTGGGTTCCAACTACAATTTAAAAAATTTTTTTTTAAAATAAAACCTTTTAGGAAGAGGAGAGAAAGGGGGAAATACTGGGGAATTAATTGGAATAAATTATGTTGTAGGCATACATGAATAGGTCAGAATGAGCCCCTATATATAATTATAAAGCACTAATTTCAGTAATAGACCTAATTTGTACCTTTAAATGAAATTGCTTAAAGATGGGCACAGAAGATGGGTTCAGTGAAAAAAATATATGCAATGAAAAGATATATGCTGGGCTGGGGTTGTAGCTCAGCAGTAGAGTACTCACCTAGCATGTGTGAGGCCCTGGATTCTATCCTCAGCACCACATAAAAATAAATTAAAAAATAAAGGTATTGTGT